TGTTTCACTATTTTCTTTAGAAATATAATTTATAATACCTAATTATTAACCGACATTATTACGTAATACATAATAATAAATAGAATAACAATTTAGCTAATTAAATAGCTTACCGCAGCATATCAAATGAAAATTATTATACAGATGATTTTAATTTTTAAAGATATTATAATTACAATGGTTAAAACTTTACATGCGGATAGTAATTTTTCGATTGAAATACTTATTTATTTCAATGACAATATGCGGTTACATTATAATTGCGTGTGTAATAATAATAATGGTTAAACTTAAAATATATTATGAGTAAGGAAAATGTGTCAAACACATTTTAAAGTTTTTTGAACGCACGCTATTGTCAAATCAATTAATAAAAATAAATAATCCCCGTAGCCGACTGTACGGATAATTAATTATTCGATTGTAACATTTTTTATAAATATATATGTATATACAACCCATAATAATTTATAAATATAGTAAAACAATACATGGAAACTGCAAATATAAATCAAGGAAGTATTACGTAAGCACTTGGTTAATCATTTCAGAGTAAAGAAATTATGTTTTTTAGAAAAAACAAAATATTTCTAAACGTTTATTTATGCACTGCTAGTAATTTTTATAAGTATAGACGAATAGAAAAACAATTCAACTTAAAAGTAAAATTGATTAATTAATAATTTCAATTGTGGCTTTATCAGATTTCAATCAGGTAATACAAAATATGTAGGTGATGATTATTATTGTTATTATTTTTCATCGATCAAAATATGTATAGTACAGTTTACATTCTAAACTAGAGGATGTCAAATTGTTTGTAGGTACGGTTTAAGACTTAAGTATTCTAGATTATAAAATTGATTATGAAATTACGTACATATTTAAATCCGTATAATATTTCATTGTGTATGCAGTTATTCGTTTTATTGGTACATTTCTTTTAATACTAGTTTTAATAATTTTTACGTATAATAGGTAACTGTTAAACATATAAATTATGTTATACTGCAATTGGATATTACAGTTCAGTAGGTTTATTAATATGTTCATTGTTCATGTTTATACTGTAAAAGGTTAACATAAATAGGTTAACGAAAATACATATAAGAAATATTAAAATTTACAATAACGAAATGTCAAAATATACTGTATACGAGTACATACTTAAAAAGACTATCTTTCATTAAAAATGTGTTATTAACCAGTTTTAAACATTTGTTTTAATAACTGTATAATTTACTGAGATAATATACGGTTGACAATTATTACAATTTTGGTTAGAGTAAATGCATTCTAACGATATAACGATTAAAATGAATTATTAATGAGGGGATCCAAAAATGTTAGTCAGATTTTTTTTTACGAATGTAATAACTTTTGTTATTTAAATAAAAGCCCTGCCACATAAATATGCACCATAACGATAATTTATAATTAATTGTCTTATTTATACTAAAAATTAGTTGGCGAGAATAACTTTTTGTTTAAATTACTTGTTCACGTGTGTTGTGGAATAACACAAAGTATTGTGAAAATAGTAACAATGAGTTAACAATATTATGTACATTGTACACTATCTGTATCGTTTTATTAACACGAATTTGTATACAATGAATGTTAATGATTTGTACAAAACATTTAATTACAAAAAAAAACCTACTCGTAGGTTAAGACATAGAAAAGTATTTAGGTAACGTACAAATTAACTAATTTTAATGGTTTTATAATATATAAATGAGAATTTAAGTTTCAATATTATTCTAACGTAGGATACACTTGTACATTTGATACATTTGTAGGTACTACAGTCGATACTTTTTTAGAATTTATTCGTGGAATAGTTTATAATTTATATCGAACTACAATGAAAATACAAGTGAATAATATAAAAATGAAATTAATAATAAAAACCTAATCGAAACATATGTTTTTAGACACACAATGTGCGCGGAGATCTAAATTGCATATTACCATTAGCTAGAACGCGATCACTAAGGTCATTCAAACTTTAGTTACTTCAGTATAAATAATGGATGTACGACGTGTTTCAATTGAACTCACGATTTTTACTACATTTATACAGAATATGTATTCGTACATCAAAGCCGTCGTCCATCACTTTCGTTCAACGCCAAGTCAAAATTATTGTGCAAGTGTGGATAAACATATATACTATACCTATTATTATATTATAGCACTTTTAAACGCCCGGAATCGGTCCGTTTAGGTTCGTACAAAAACCTTTTAAATAATGAATGCTCTAGAATGCACTAAAAAAAAACCACCGCATAAACCTTTGTGTGCGCGCCGTGTATACATAAAACCGAGTGCGGCTAGAATATTTTAATTTTTATATTCTTAATAAAGAAAACGTGAACACACACACAGAAAAAAAATAAGAAAAAAAAAGCCAAATGGATAATGGACTTGTAAAAAAAAATGGTGTTTGGGTTGCCTGGTAAATATTTGCCTTTCTCGCGGGCTCGTAAAAATATTATGTAAACATTTTCGGGCGGAAATGCTTGGAAAATGACTGGGTGGTTTCTCAGGTGCACAGAGTAAAATGTACACACCACACACACCTACCTACCTATATGTACCTGTATAGTGTATATACTACGACGGCATTCGAGGTATCGCGCGACTCGTGTTTGCCGTGCGTGTTCGAAACGACGTGACCCACAGATCACAATGACACTAATAATAAGTACGGGGTGCCTATTGTTTTTCCACCAGGCGCACAAATCGGAAGTATGCAGTGTTTTACCTACCTACCTACTAATCTACCGCGGTATACGTCTCGCATAAGGTATTCCGTTTTAAATTTATATCTGTGTCGTTATTGCTGTTATTATTATATTTTTAATGAAACAATGGATTAGTCAAGGTGGCAAGTGTAGACGGTGTACAATGTATAATAATATAATGGCTGTGATGAAAATCGTCTCGTCAATCATTTAGAGGTCTCTCCTCGTCGTCGGCGGGACTCCCACCGTCAGACTAATAGAGATAAATCACGTTCAAATAATTACAATCTATACACACACACGCTGCACTCGCGACCATACATACTGCACGCTATGAGCGTGCATACGTCATCATATATGTGTATAGCGGAGTCGGGGAAAAAAAACTCTTGTCCTTTATTATAACACAATTCACTCGCGACCGGTGTATATAGGTATTCATATATATATATTTTTTCCACGAACAATATTAATTTCCTGCGCGCCATATGGGTTCCCGGGGCTTTGATTCAATTTACAGCTGGGGCTCGGCAACTATACGGGGGCTCCTCCTCGTGCGTATAGTTAACCCAATATTACATATAATAATAATGAGAGCCCAGGGTCATTTACCCCCTCGCGCTGTTGTGCGTGTGCGGACGTCAGCAGAAGCCCCACGCGGCGCCCGCCACCGACCGCCGGGAAGGACGAGCGGATTTAGGAGGGATGGTGGTAATGAGGCAGCGGAGGAGGCGGAGAAATGTAAAAGGGCGACGAGAAGAAATCTTACAAGTAACTCACGTAAAGCGTGCATTCAACGGCGCGGCGTACACTGTTCGCGGGCCGCCGGGGAGAGGGGGGCAAAGCACACTCGGTTTAGAAATTAGGAAGCCAAACTTTTTTTTTCGTTCGGATGATTGTTATATATAATGTGTGTGTGTGTGTGTGTTTGTATAAGACCAGAATAAACCTATTTTTTCTGTCCGTGAAACTTTACAGCGTTCGCCGAATCAAATTGATTATATTGTACGAAATTCCTAGTGCGCACACACAAGCAGCGGTCACGGAAACACGTAAATAAACAGATGCACCTCCCCTTACTCCGAAAACACTGGCCCGCTGTAGAATATACGTTTTCCGAGCGAGATTTATGATGAAACGTTTTCGAGGTTAAACTAAGACCTGAGTTATTCGAATTGATTCTGCACCTCGCCGCAAGTAACTTAAACAAAGTTCGTACAGAATTCGTTTCGAACGGTATGAAACCGATCTCGTGCGAGTGCCCGTATATACATATACATATATATATATATTTATACTTATATATTATTATACCAATAGATATATTATATTATATACGAATATACTTGGCTGATATATTATTATTACCTATATAATATGATCCAACAAAGGCGGGTTCGAGTCTCAAGCCTAACCGTCGGTCCACAAGGAACGTTCTAACATTACGTTTTCCTATTTCTTTTGGCCGTTATATATGGCCAGCTGTGTGCTCGAATTGTGTGTTTGTGAAGTTTTCTCGCTCGTTTGTATTATAAGAACATATATAATATGCGAGCATATCACGCACTTACCGAAACAGGCCTCCCTCGCGCTCGTCGAGTAGGACCTGAAAACGGTTACGTATAACAAGTACCTATACGTATACGTGTGGTCAATTTCGAGGGGGCGTGTGTGTGAAAGTCAGCGTTTAATAGGACCCGAACAATGTTATTTCTTTAAGAGAGGAAAAAAATAAAATGTAAAAATCAATAGGGGTTTGCTTTGTTTCTCGTGTGAACACCACCTTTATATTACATATAGCGTATATACCCGAAGGGGAAGTCGGTGAAACATGAGAAAGTACCACTCGAGATCTGGTCTAATGCATATTATTTTTCACGTGATGCATCATAATCCGCTGGAAGTCATTATAATTGGCCGGGGGAACACGGAACGTTATACGAGAACCGGCAGTTTGTGAGACAAAGGAACTAGTTTTGTCATCGACAGACAATCGCCATAGGGATACCTACGTGTAGAGAGGCATTATAATATTACATTATATACAGGTACCTACTCATAAATTCACATACGATGTGTAAGATAATAGATATAGATTTTAAATACGTTTTACCTTTTTTTCTCTTTCTATATAATATAATATACAGTACAATGTAAACACCGTGATATATTATATATATTATTTATATTATTGTATATAAACACGGTCGCTAAGTATTTTTTTTTCTTATAGTATCACTTTTCACTTACCAACGCACGTAATAGTTCAACGATCACTGGTCTCGACTCTCGATCGATACGGTGCAGGCAGGTCGGTCTGCAGTTTAAAGGACGAATATAAGGATAATAAGTCGTATATTCTTATAGTGTAGGTAGATCGTATGTTGTGTTCGTGTATTCTCTACAGGAAACATAAAACAAAAATCATAATATTATTAATGTGTATATAAGGTTATACAATTAACTGTAGCAATAAAGCAATATTACATATTATATTATATGGGTGCATTACGCACAGTGTGAATTCATAATATATAGTTTATACGAAGTAAAATGTTTGAATAATATAAGCAACAGATATAATATTGGAGAGGATTATTTCATATAAAACACGTTGGCGTTTAAATACAAACGGTAAGATTCCTTTTTTTTTTGTTTTTGAAAAATTCATACAGCTATAAATACGTATAACTATGAATAAAACAGAAAATAAAACCTTTTTCGTTGAATATATAAATAATGTATCAGTATCATAATTGGTACAATAAATTATTAATGATTATTATACCTATAAAAGGACATATTATATAACTAGGGAAATAAAAATTCGGGTACCTAATAATTAAAATCTAGATTTTTTTTTCGTACATAATTTATATATACAGACATACAGTGCTGTATCAGTGAAAATATAATTATTATTGTAATATAATATCCGCATTACAAAACATCATTGTACTTATAATTTCTTTTTCAGTCATTACGCCGTGAATAAATACATTAAAAATGTAAATTCATGAAATATAATACGTTTTTAATTATACAACAGTCAACCAGAAAAAACAATTATTATATTAGGTTTTTATTCCGAAGTACCTTTATGTGTTCAATTAAAAACAAAATACCAGTAGTTATAGGAACCTATTGAATTTCGTCATAATAAAAACGAATTAATATCATTATTTTTCTATTCTTACAAACATTTTTATAATTATTTTTCTAGACCAAAGCTCGATTAAAGTCTCGAAATAATTAATCGTTACATTTTATAGTAGGATAACCGTAATCTTTTTCGCTCCGAGATTAATGTTGAAGCTATACACGTTACAGTCGTAAAAATAAAACTTATCCAATTAATTGCACTATTAAAAGTATAGAGCTAATCTCTCTTATAGCCAAAGCGTCTAATATCAACTGGTTACATTCGAAATTGGCTCGTTAAAATATAAATATACACACACGCGGGGCCCATTCCGTGGGACAGGCTGCGTATATAATATAAAGATAATTAGTTGTTGACGACAAGTCGTGTGCGCGAATGTGTGAGTGTGTGCGCGCGCGCGCGCGTGTGTGTGTGTGTGTGTGTGTGTGTGTGTGTGTGTGTGCGCGCGAGCGTTTTTAACCGCATTAAAAGAGATGAAAGTAATGTTATTTTTGGAGACGGCGCATAAATTCTGCGGTTTAGATTTCAACGCGGCCGTAAAGCACTAGCTTTACACGAGACCGTAAGAACAACGGAACGACGGGAAAAACTTTTGATGTTTCGCAGCTCGTAAATACGTATAATATAATATTATTAGGCATAGCGGACGAAAGCTATTTTCCGGCAGTCGTATAGAGCAATTTAGTAAAACGTATACGTTGGTATAATCGCCATCGAAAGATTTTATTTTATTTTTTTACGAGCCCATTCGCGAGCATTTTACACACATAATATAATAATTAATATACATTTATATTTTATATACCTTGGCATTAGGTTATTATTACCTATGACTAAACTCTGCGCGATGCATATGAAAAGCCTAATATGGACTTGACGTCTGCAGTCCGGGACGAAGAACCCCTGTATGCGGACAGCGGTATCGCATTAAAATCGTCGATCGTTTATTTTAATATACCACGACAAAAATGAAATTAACTTTGTTGAACAACAGTACTACAGAAGTAGAGGACTAAAACCATTTGCAGTTCTAGAAATAAGGAAATATTATTCCTCCAATAATATAGCACCAATATACTACATTATAGTAGGGATTTGTCTATCAAATATAGGTATGTATCATTTGGATTACATATACAGTCATATATTTTAAACATATTCGATACTTGATTAATAGTCATTAACCTATTGGAAAACACAAAGTTATGTATAACTTAAATGCGGTTATATGGGAGAGGGTCATTACACTAGCTATACACCTATACAACACCTCTTTCCCAAGAGCCTATAATTAATTGGACTTGCTTAGAAAAACTGATTGTATTTTTTTTTCGGAAAAACAAATTATTACTATGGTTTTTAAATACATTATTTAGTATAATTCTTGGGATCTATACACAAATAGTGAGTGTATGTGTAGGACACACACCAAGTGTACGTTATAATTTAGTCCATATAGTGTTGGGGGGTAACGGATTATATATGCCTATAAATATTACACGATATAACACATAATACTATATTGATATACCTACATAATACTATATACTATATAGGCATTATAAATGGTATATGCGTTGCCTATACACAAATATGTGCACATAATGACTTAGCTGAAAGCCGACTCGTACGCAGGGACCATTAAAAACCATCGATTATAATATTATATAAACACTATATACATGACTGTATAATAGGTGTATACGTATATATATAGGCACTATAAATCGCACACCGCAATAGAAAATGCGATGCGCCGTGCGCGATAAGAATCGACTGCCGTTATATAAGGCGCAGCGACTACCAGGCACCCGCCAACACATCGCAAGTGCGTTTTGTTATCGGAACTTGTTGGAAACTTTAGCGGTTCAATTATAAACAAATTTTATCTACACAGTACACACCATATATAGCTTGAGCACGCACACACATTCGCCACCATCGTATACGTCTTGTTATTATTGGAATTGCTATGTATACGAGCTGAGGGCATATAGTAGTCCGTCCCCGCCGCCGGCTGTCGAAGTGTGGGTGTGCCGTGCACTGTGCGTGTCGCAGTTCTAACAGCTCTCTGGCATCCAAGGGGGGGGGGGCAACGTTTTCAGAACATAAACAACTCGATAAGGGTGGTGTAGTAGCGATTATCGTTAAAAATAAACTCGGTTAGGTCAGGTTCGGTGACTATACGCCAGAAATGGTCAACTTTTGTCACCAACTGACGTGTACTTACGTCGATGCACTCCACTTTACCGTACACAATCGGGAGAGCTTACACCGTCGTCGTCCGTAAAATAGCGATGATCGAATAAAGCATAAAAAAAAAATATATCATTTGAAAACCAACGCAATCACTTTGCTGGGTTCAAAATGTACGAAAATAACTTTTTACAAACCATCATCATCACCATATTATACGAACATCTAGGGAAACATTTTTGAGATAAAAAAAAATGTAGGTACTCTATAAAATACAATATAATTTGGCGGCGGCGATGAGCTACATAATTTTTCAAACACCATCGCCCCGATGACATCACACGTTTGGGAAAATCACTCGTAATGACGAGTTTGATACCGTAGCCCGTGAACTTTTATTACCTAGGTATGTATATACCTATACTATTTATACCGAGTATTGTATATCGTACGAGCTATAGTGTATTACTACATGTATAGCCTCACAAACACCATAATATCATGCACTTCTAGATCATTTCGTTGTACCACCGGACATTACGGTTCATCACCGGATGATCATCACACTTGATTGGAGCACGTCGTGTTTCGTATATAAACGGTCAGTATTGTATTCCGTTTTGGTTCATATGATACGACGACGAGTGGCCGCAACTATATAATCATATAATACTCATATACTGAATTATACTCATATGCATACATTATATTGTATAATATATACCATACCATATACGATTGGATGTCGCATTGTCGCTTTTATTGTTATTAGTAGATATATTTTTTTTTTTACATATCCCTTTTACTAGTTGACAAATGGTACGTACTCACATAAGAAATAAATAAATGAAAAACAGGACAATAAATATTAATAATAATATATACTGCAACCGAGTTCCACGGCGTCATAACCCTGTACAACGTCGTAACGCTTCGGAACGCCGCCGAGTCAATTTAAATGGCTTTTATGAACCGATACAGACTAATGGTCTGAAATGATAGGATAAATAAATACACGAGCGTCTCTTTTTATATACCGAAGTTTCCGATGCATATATTCTTTGAATAGGAAATAAATGTTTGGGCCGACTGTCTGTCTGTTTGCGATTATGCTGCAGTATCTAATATAATACGAGTATGTATAAGAAGTCGAAGAAATATTAATATACGAGTAGCATTCGGATTTATACGACGAAGATTTTACCATAATATATATAAAACCACACTTTCCGACATTTGAATACGCCACACAGCAATACCATTCAATGTATACACCGACCGGAGTGTGTGTACTGTGTATATATATATATATGTTTACATTAATATTGAAATGTCGGGGAGAAGTCGGTTTTTCACAATTCAATAATGTATTTTACATAATATTATAACAACACACTCGGTTGTACGGTTAACGAGTAATCAAATATTCACCAATTCTATTGTAAACTTATACGTACACGGATATTATATATTATACACTTACCTCCTATATACGTATATTATAGGCAGGGGCCAGGGAGAACTGTATAGTTATATGTAAGTACACACTCGACACGGTAAAAACGCAATACTATTTCAATATAACATCTATACGCGTGTGCGTAATGTAATTTCGAATTGTAAGCACGCGACTAAAAACAAAACAAAAAAACAAGAATAATAATATATAAATATGACAATACATCGGTACACTCGATATATATATATAGACGTGTAGGGTTACAATAGGATGTGAATGAGTAATGGGTATAATGTCTATACATATATATACTTATTTATTACCGTTATTACAACCCGGCTACCTATATATTGTTTTTTTGTATTATCGTCACAACCATTATGAAAAAACTAATGGCGCTTATAAGACTCTCAAATAATATATAAGGCGAAATGTAAACATTTGAAACAAACGGGGTTTTATTTTTGTTTTTAAATATATTTCAATATTTTATGACGATTGAATGTATGTTTTGCAAATAATAATAATGTGCACTGAGCTGAGCGTATACCGATTTTTTTTTAAGTCTTCTAAATCTGATCAA